CTGCCTTTCAAATAAATAAATGAAATACACCTTGAAAACAAACAAGCAAAAGATCAGCCAAGTGAAACCTGGGTGAAAGCCTCCCTAGAGCCACAAGAACGCTGGCTGGCGAGCCGCCCTCGGGTCCCACGGAGGGGGTACCGGGCTGCCCAGGGAACCAGGGCTGCTGCGCGTGCGGCGCCGGAGAGACGGCCTCGCCACGCCGAGCAAAAGCCCAGAAGGGCGCCCTCGCGGAGCAGGGCCCGGGACTCACGGAGCGCCAGGGCCCGTCGGTGGCGGCGTCTCCCACCTAGAGCAGGGGGACGTCTACTTTCCGCTCAACGCGACTCCCGCGAGCACCGCTGACGCTCAAGGACAGAAGGCGCAGACGGCGCTGCACCCGGCGCGGTTCTGGGTCCCGAGGCCCCGGCTCGTCAGCAAGCTCGGGCCCACCTGCAGCTGGCTCTCGGGGGCAAAGCACTGAGACAGCAGCCACGCGGCACGGCCCGTCTCCACAGCAGGTCAGGGCACAGGGCGCAGAGCTGAGCTGGGCTCGCAGCCCTCCTGGGTCCCGCAGGCCCTGCATGAGCGCGGACCGGCTCCCCGCCGTGAGCGCGGGCGGGCACCGTGCAGAGACGCAGCCGCGGCGGGCGGGCGGGCAGCACTCGGGGTCGTTCTCTCCGGAAGCTGCAGCACCACAGACGCAGTGCTCCCCTCTATCGCGGCTGGGGCTGGACCAGCGCGGGCCGCTGCGAGGCCGCACGCAGCCCTCCTCCCCGCGGGACCCCCGCCCCGCCCCGCCCCGCCGCCGGGTACCTTTGCTGGACCTCTTGGACATCTTCTTGCTGCCCTCGGAGGCGACTTCTATCTCGTCGGGGTCCCCGCCTTCGTCCTCGATGGCCTGCGGGGGGAGGACGGGGCAGGGGACGTCAGCGCCGCGGTCGGGGCTCCGAGGGCTCCCACGCGTCCCGGGTAGCCCGGCCGCGCCTCCTCCTCCGCGCGGGGTCCGCGGAACCGGGGCGGGGGCGGGGGGCCGCTCCGCCTCTCAGAAGACGGGGGCGGGGCGGCGTCCGGCCCAGCAGCTGGGAACCGCATCCCGCACCGGGGGGCCCGGGTTCAAGTCTCAGCTCTGCGGCTCCGGCCGGTGCACACCCCCGGGGGCGGCGGGGGGCAGCGCCAGCCACGTCCGAGACCCCGATGGCGTCCTGGCTCCCAGCGTGCACCTGGCCCGGCCCTGGCTGGTGCAGGCAGCCGCAGAGAGGAGAGCTGTGCGCCCCCGGTGGGGGGGGGGCTGACGGCGACGGAAAGTTCTCGAATGCACACCCCCGTCTCGGGCGCCCACGGCCCCCGGCGGGCGAGGACAGGGCCCCGCTCGGCCCTCCCAGCGTCCTCCCCGGGTCCGAGCCGCGCACAGAGGCCCGCTCGCCGGCGCCAGCTTCCTCCCCACGCCCCGCCCCCCGCGCGCGCCCCCGCGCCTGACAACCAACCCCGGAGGGCGGCCGGGAGGAGGCGGCGAGCGCAGAGGGGGCGCCCACCGCGGCCGGGGCGGCGCCAGCCCCCTCCCCGCCCCCGGCAGGGTGACCTTGGCCGAGTCCCTTCCCTGCGCCCCGGAAGTGAGGGCTGCCGGGCGCCGCCGCTCTGCGCCCCGCGCCCCCGCGTCCTCGCCCCGGTGCGGCGCCGGGAGCCGAACCCGAGCCCGCGCGGCCCCGCAGCGCCCGCCCGCCCGCCCGCCCGCCGGGCCGCGACGCCACCTTTTTCAGCCGCTCCATCAGGACGCTCTTGTTGCCGCTCGAATCCAGGTTCCGCTTCCTCAGCTCCGCCCGCAGGTCGATCACCCGCAGCTCGCTGAGGCGACGCGTCCCGGCCTCCGACGAGGCGGAGCTCAGAGCCGCTGTGCCCGCCGCACCCGAATCTCCCAGGCCCGACAGAGTCTCCGCCATTCCAGGAAGCCTGGCGCCGCTGCCCACTCCTCACAGAACCGGGCCGGTTGTCCGTCGGCTCCTCGCACAAAATGGCGCCGCCTGCGAGGGAACCGCTCCAGCCGCCCCGGCGCGCCTGGCTTCTGCGCAGGCGCAGCCGGCGCGAGACCGACGCGCCCGGTCGCCTGTGCACATGCGCGCTGAGAGGCGCCGGAGACGGGGCGCAGGCGCGTAGCTCGCCGGCCGCCTCCCGCCGCGGGCGGCCGACGCGCGTGCGCGCTGCGGCGCCTGCGCCTGCGGGCTGCGGCGTGGAGCGCGCGGCGGGCCGAGGCGCGAGCGCGCTGGTTGCTAAGCGCGCCGGCGAGGGCGGGGGCGGAGAGGGGCGCGGCGCGCACGCGCGGCCGCAAAGCGGGGCGGGAGGAAGCGAGTGCGTTTTCCTCTTAGGCGGCGCCATTTTGTGCTCAGAGCCGCTGCAGCCGCGGGCGGTGCGCGGCCGAGCGGCTGGCCAGCGGGGGCCGGGCGGGCGAGGATGTCGGAGACCCTGGCCGAGTCGGGCGACGCGGGCCCCGGCGCGGCCGCTCTGGGCTCCGGCGCCTCTGAGGCCGGGACGCGGCGGCTCAGCGAGCTGCGGGTGATCGACCTGCGGGCCGAGCTGAGGAAGCGGAACCTGGACACGGCCGGCAACAAGAGCGTCCTGATGGAGCGGCTCCGGAAGGTGAGGCGGCCGGGGGCCCCGGGGCGGCGCGGGCGCCCGCGGCGCGCCCCGGCGCGCGCCTGTCACCGACCTCGGGGGGCCGGTGCGGGGTGGCCCGGCTGTGTGACCTTGGCCCGTCACCGCCCCTCTCTGTGCCTGGCGCCCCGAGAGCCCCTCCTGGCCCCGGACGCGCCCCCGCGACCTTGGGCGAGCGCCTGGCCCCCCAGCTCCCGAGGCCAGGGGGGCGGGGCAGGGCCTGCCCCAGGACCTTTGCACCTGGCAGGGCCTGCGCTGGGACGGCTGGGGTCCGCCCCCTGGCCGGGGGTCAGCGGCACGTGGGTGCCGGCGCCTTCCGGGTGTCCACGGCTGGGACCCTGGGAGGGGGGTGGAGGGACTTCCGCCGCCACCCGGGCCCGAGAGTGCTGGCGCCGGCGTGGGGCCGCGGCCGGACCCCGCCAGGTGCAGCCTCCCGCGCGGGGCCTCCGCAGACCCGGCAGCCCGTGAGCCCTGCCCGGCTGGTCGCGGCGCGGCCTCACGCCCGGAATTCCCGGTCTCCCCTAGGCGGTGGAGGAGGAAGGGCAGGACCCCGACGAGATGGGCGGCGAGGTGGAAGGCGCCGGCCGGAGGCTGGCCAAGAGGTTCGCTAAAGGTGCGTGACCGCGCTGCGTGCGGGCGGCGGCGGGGCTGCGGGCCGGGGGTCGGGGGTGGGCGCGCAGGGGCCAGGGAGGACCAGGCTGCCCCGTGTCGGCTGCGTGCGTGCGGGCGGCGGCGGGGCTGCGGCCGGGGGTCGGGGGTGGGCGCAGGGGCCGGGCCAGGGAGGACCAGGCTGCCCCGCATGGACCAGGCTACCCCGTGTCAGCTGCGTGACCCGCGCTGCGTGCGGGCGGCGGCGGGACTGGGGGCTGGGAGGGGCGCGCAGGGGGAGGACCAGGCTGCCCCGCATGGACCAGGCTACCCCGTGTCAGCTGCGTGACCCGCGCTGCGTGCGGGCGGCGGCGGGACTGGGGGCTGGGAGGGGCGCGCAGGGGGAGGACCAGGCTGCCCCGCGTCAGCTGCGTGCGGGCGGCGGCGGGGCTGCGGGCCGGGGGCCGGGCCAGGGCCTGGAGCGCTCGCCTGGGACGGGGGGACCAGGCTGTCCCGTGTTGGCTGCGTGGCCTTAAGTATAGGAGACGGGCGCCCAGCTGAGGCCACGCAGGACACGGGGGCCCAGCGTGGACGGAGCGGCTGTCACCCTGCCTTCCTCGTCCGTGTCTTGGGTTTTTTTTTTTTTTTTCTAATTTAAAACTTTTTTTTTAGCATTATTATTTACTGGAAAGGCAGAGTTGCGGTGAACGGGGGAGAGGGAGGAGGCTTCCGTCTGCTGGTGTCTCCCCGGTGGCTGCCTGGGCCAGGCCGAGCTGCGAGCGCCCGCGGGTCTCCCCGGGGTGCAGGGCCCAGGCCGTCCTCCGCTGCCTCCCCGGCGCGGGAGCTGCCGGGCCTGCAGCAGGCGTCCCCGCGGGCGCGGGTGCCGCGGGAGCAGCTGAGGCCGCCCTGGCCGTGTGGGGCCCCGGCCCGTGGGCGGCGCGCGGGAGGCGCGATTGCAGGGCGGGCCGGCCCGCGTGCACACGGTGCTGTCGCTTCTTCCCATCCCCCAGCGGCGTTCTGCCTCTGCGGGGGCGGGGGTCGTGGACGCGGGGCCTCTGAGCGGTGTTTCCGCCCCGGGGCTTCCTGCTCACGGCCGATGGTGGTGACTTGGGCGTTTGTGTGCGGTCCGCGGGCAGCAGGTGCGCGGCGTGAGCGCCGTGGACCGCGTCCTCGGCCGGCCGGGCGGCGGTGCTTCTCCCACGGCCCGCGTTCCTCCGTGGCCCAGCAGTGCGGGGAAGGCCGCTGTAGGTCACCGCGGGCTCAAGGGGGCTCAGTCGAGTGGGAGTGGGAGCGTGTTTTGCCGGTGCCGTATCGCGGGGTGCTGCGTTGGGACCCCTGGCCGGATACCGGCGGCCGCAGGGCACGGGGACCGCACAGCGTCCAGGGGCTCGGTGACCCGGAGCCCGAAGGCGGCTGGGAGCTTCCTGGAGCGGCGGACGCCCGCTTAGCACCGCGTCCGGGGGTCGTGGCGGGCCTGGGCCTGAGCAGCTGGCCAGCACTGCGGCGTCTGAAGGCCTGGGTGACAGCGTGGGCGAGGGCGGCTTTGCGCACATCGGCGGGGCGTGGGGGGCACGTTCGGGCTGCTGGTCCCCCCAGCCCCTGAGCACCTGCTCTCCGGCTCCTTGGGAGGCAGCAGCTCAGGTGTCGGCCCTGCGCCCACGGGTAGACCTGGGGCGGGGCTCATGGCTCCTGGCTTCAGCCTGGCCCAGCCCCAGCTGCTGGGGTATTTGGGGCATGAGCCAGAGAACGGGGACCGGCCCCCATGCCCCCCTCTCTTTCTATCTTTCTCCGTCTCTCAGGGAGACGGAAAGGTTCCGTGACCGCCAAGCTGGGGTCAGATCGGCACTGGTTGGGGTTAGCCGCGTGGCAGGAAAGCTGGGGTGCCAGCCGCTGCTGTGGGCACGAGACACTGCTTGTAATGGGGCCATGGAGGGCCCCCAGAGCCTCCCCCGATCCAGGTCCTGCCCTGAGCTGGGAGCTCTCTGGAGCGCTGGGCGCCTGCGCAGCTGTGGGGGGCTCTGGGGTGACGCGCAGCCTGTGTGGGAGTGGGGGGCTCACAGGCTGTGTCCCGGCCCCGTGTCTCGCCCCAGAGCCCGCCGGCGCCGCCTCCTCTCGGAAGTCCAGAGGCCCCTCCCCCCGTGGGGCGGACATGGTCACAGGGAGCGGCCTCGGCCCAGCAGACACGTGGAGGGTTGCGGGTGGTGTCTCCCGGTGACAGCCTGGGTCTGTGTGCGTGGGGGAGCCGAGTGCGGCTCCTGCTCTGTCTCCGCCCGCCAAGGCCAGGGCGTGGGCCTTGGCTGCCCCTGTGACGCCCGCCCAGGCCCGGGGACAGGGGCGCCACTGAGCTCGGGGTGGGGGTGGGGACGGGGGCGCCGCTGAGCTCGGGGGCGCGGCCTGGCTGCTGAGGCGCTGGGGCCGAGAGGTGCTCTCGCTGTCTTAGAGGAGTGATGAGAAATCCGACCTCTGGGTGGTGTGGGAACGTGGGGACCGGAAGTGACTTGTGAATGTGCGGGGCAGGAAGCGCTCATCAAGATGCAGGGCGCTGGGGGCGGCCCCAGCAGGGTTTCTCCACGTGCGTGGGAGTGACGGGGGCGTGACGGGCGTGAGGGAGTGGCAGTGATGGGGAAGTGACGGGGGCGTGAGGGAGTGACAGTGACGGGGGCGGGGCATGAGGGAGTGACAGTGACAGGGGCGGGGCATGAGGGAGTGACGAGGGGCGTGAGGGAGTGACAGTGACGGGGGCGGGGCATGAGGGAGTGACAGTGACAGGGGTGGGGCATGAGGGAGTGACAGTGATGGGGAAGTGACAGTGACGGGGGGCGGGGCATGAGGGAGTGACAGTGATGGGGAAGTGACAGTGACGGGGGCGGGGCATGAGGGAGTGACAGTGATGGGGGTGGGGCATGAGAGTGACAGTGATGGGGAAGTGACAGTGACGAGGGGTGGGGCATGAGGGAGTGACGGGCGGGGCATGAGGGAGTGACAGTGACAGGGGGCGGGGCATGAGGGAGTGACAGTGAAGGGGGCATGACAGTGACGGGGTGGGGCGTGAGGGAGTGACAGTGACTGGGGAAGTGACAATGAAGGGGAGTGACAGTGATGGGGGCGTGACAGTGAAGAAGAGTGACAGTGATAGGGGCGTGACGGGTGTGAGGGAGTGACAGTGATGGGGAAGTGACAATGAAGGGGAGTGACAGTGATGGGGCGTGACAGTGACAGGGGGCTGGGGCGTGAGGGAGTGACAGTGACTGGGGAAGTGACAATGAAGGGGAGTGACAGTGATGGGGGCGTGACAGTGTCAGGCTGTGACAGTGATGGGGACATGACAGTGAAGAAGAGTGACAGTGATAGGGGCGTGACGGGTGTGAGGGAGTGACAGTGATGGGGCGTGACAGTGACAGGGGAGTGACGGACACCAGGCTCCGCCCTGCCATTGGATGCCGTGGCCGCCCGCCGTCTGCAGTGGAGGAAGTCCCTACGTCCCCGAGCGTTGCGTTCCATGTTGTCATTCCTGGTGTGTATCCTGAGTAGTGTCCCCGGACAGAGGGCGTAAGGCACGCGTGTGTGCGTGTGCGTGGAAGGTTACTTGAAAGGCGGAGCTCCAGAGAGAGGGAGAGGAGAGTTCCTCCACCGCTGATTGACTCCTGCAGGCCGCCAGCGCTGAGCCGTGCCTGCCTGCTTCCCGGGAGCCGGGGCTGCGGGGCGCCCGGATCGGACGGGGCGCGGGGCGGCCCAGGTCTCGGCGCGTCCCGGCTTCGGGTGGCGCGCAGCTGCGGCCTCTCTCCCCTCCTAACGCGGAGGCGTGCGCGCCCCCTCCTGGAGTACGAGGCAGACCTCGAAACCGTTCCTTTGCGTTCGCGAAACTTGGGTGCCTGCCGGCCGAGTGGCAGGCCGCGCGCCCCGGCCTTGCCGAAGCCGGTTCCCCGGCTCAGAGTGCTAAGGGACGGGCGGC